ATTCGTTTTTGTAATTTGAAAATAAAATACGCGTAGCGATTATAATGGCGCTTTAAATATCGCGTTGCGATTTACGGATACGCGTTGCGATTTTATGTATTATCGTTGCGATTTACGGATACGCGTTGCGATTTACGGATACACGTTGCGATTTACGGATACGCGTTGCGATTTATGTGTTCGCGTTGCGATTTTCATATTCGCGTTGCGATTTTGGAAAATCGCAATGCGAATTTGTACTATCGCATTGCGATTTTCAAGAATCGCGTTGCGATTTTGGAAACTGATTTGCGATTCTGGGGATCGCGTTGCGATTTTTATTTCGCGTTGCGATTTTGTTGGTCATTTTGGCAAATCCAAAAAAAGTTGGTTAAAATCGTATATTATAACTTTTTTTTGGTCACTGAGGCGATTTTCTCTTTATTTAATTAGAAGTTGGCATCAGTCGAAACTACATCAACAGTACTTGTGGAACATCCCTTACGAAATAAATAGTAGAAGACGACATAGCCGCATGGTTTGCTAACACATGAGCAGCCTCATTGGCTTCTCGGTGAACAAATCGGATCGAAATGTGAGGATTCGAATCTAGCGATTGTCTCACCTCACGGGGGTGGAAATGAAACACTGAACGATCGGACTGGGGATGCTCTAATTGGAGGACAACATTCCGAGCATCACTCTCCACTTCTACTGTTGGCAGCTCTAAATCTACTTCCATTCGGACATAATAAAGTGCAAGGCCACAACAAGATTAGAAACCCGATAGCCCGGTGAAGGAACCCCCCCCCCACACACACACACACACCACGACCACAAAACAATCTGCAATAACACGTCCAGATGAATCACGCAGAATGATACCATAGCTGGTGTAGCAGGATTTGCAGGGACAGCTCTGTCAACATTGATCTTATACTCTCCGGCCGGAGGCTTCATCCAACGATGAGGTTGCAACAATGAGTTTTGTTGGGCAGTCAAAGAAGCTACTGCAGTTGCATATGCTGATTGGAGTGCCTGACCAGAAACAATAAGCTGCCACCCCGGGAGGAGTTGTCCTTCATGGAAGAAAAAGTTAAGACGATTCCAAACCTTCCACAGAAAGATCAGAAGGGCAATGAAGTGAGGGACTGACAACAAACCCATCATATTCTGTAACCATGCACCAAAGGATGGGAAGGCAATGGAATCGTCCATCACTATGTAGCCTGCCACTACTAAAATGGGTTGAACCGTACTACAATCCCTTAAGGCATGGGACACTGTCTTGCCCAGATTTCCACATAGACAACATCGGCCATCCAAAGCACCAAAGTGAGAGAGACGACAGACAACATGGAGAGCCTCATACGCGGCCCTCCAACAAAACATGTTAACCTGTGGGAGAGTTTGCCCAACATCGCAATGTTAAAAGTCTGAAAGTCATGAAATCCAAGGCCACCCAATCATTTCGGCCGGCACAGTGTTTGCCAAGCAACAAGAGCCCATCTTCGTGCGGAAGAATCGCCCGACCACCAATAATCTCCAAGACATGAAGTTAGATCTGTCAGCACCCTATTTGGTTGACCAACATCTTTAATATTATTTTAGAGACTGCCAAGATGCCAGAGGAGTGGAGAGAGTCTATGGTGATATCAATCTATAAGAATAAAGGAGATCTCCAACATTGTGGTAACTGCAGAGGTATTAAACTAGTCAGTCATACCATGAAGCTATGGGAAAAGGTGATAGAGGCTAGGTTGAGACAGGTTACTAGGGTTTCGAAAAATCAATTTGGCTTTATATCAGGCAGATCTACTACGGAGGCGATTCATCTACTTCGACGGCTTATGGAGAAATATAGGGAAAAAATAGGGATCTTCACATGGCGTTCACTGACCTTGAGAAGACGTATGATAGCGTACCCCGCGATACGATCTGGAAGGCCTTGGAAACGAAACGGATCCCAACTGCTTATATACGGGCGATTCGTGATATGTACTATAGATCTACTACATACGTCAGAACTACAGTTGGCGACACCGAGGCATTCTCGGTGGAAATCGGACTCCACCAGGGGTCGGCTCTTAGCCCTTACATCTTCACCTTGATTATGGATGACATCTATTGTACGACACCAGACAGTGTTCCATGGTGTATGCTTTTCGCTAACGACATTGTCCTAGTTGCTGAAATAAAAAATGAGCTGAATAGTAGACTGACTACCTGGAACAGTGCTTTGGAAGAAAAATGTCTAAGGATCAATATTGAAAAGACAGAATATTTATGTTCAAACTTCAGTGGGAACCAAAACGATGTAGATGTAGAAGTATGCATCGAAGGAAACGTTCTCCCCTCAAAGGATTGTTTCAAGTACCAAGGGTCTATGATAGATAAAGATGGGGGTGTAGATGATGACGTTACACACCGTATAAAGGCGAGATGGCTAAAGTGGAGGGCTGCTACTGGAGTTTTGTGTGACAAGAATGTGCCTCTAAAACTTAAGAGAAAATTTTATAGAATGACAATAAGACGAGCGTTGCTGTATGGATCAGAATGTTGGGTAATCAAAAAGGATCACGTAAGGAGGATAGAGGTCGTAGAAATGAGAATGCTTCGATGGGCATGTGGTAGAACTCTGTGGGACATGACACCAAACTCTGCAATTAGGATGTCCTTGGGGGTGGTGCCTGTATTCGAAAAATTGAGGGAGGGGAGACTACGGTGGTTTGGGCATGTTCTTAGGCTACAACCGTCGGATGTAGTCAGGGGGTAGAGTGGATTATAGCCGATGGTGCCAGAAGGAGAGAACGATCAAGGAGGAAGTGGGTAGACTGCTTGAGATCTGATTTGAAGGATCTAGCCCTTACCAAGGATGTGACCTCTGACAGGAAAATATAGAAACTTAAGACCAGGGTAGGCGAGTAGTGTGGTTCACAGCCATAGGGTGTAGCATCTCTGTCTTCTTTTTAATGTCTTTGTAGTAATTTCCATGACTTCTACTTTTTATACGTTTCTGTCATTTGGAATTTATGAAGGTTTAAATCTAGGGTAGCGGAGTAGTGTTGCGGAGTAGTGTTGCCTTAGTTTAGGTTTTAACCTATTTGACTTTATTCCTTCTCGTAGCTTGCTATCGCTGACTACTATGTATCCTTCTCTTCATGTTTCCTCTTTTTAAATTTAGCCGAGACTTACGTTTCTGTCTATATGCAGAGATTTTTACGCATTGATTTATTTGCAGGGATTACTTCCCATTACAGACGTGCATATGAAGACTGCATATGAAGATTGTTCAACTATGTATTTATTTATTTATACATGCATTGAATTTTATTTTTATTTTTAATTTTCTAACTGTCGGAGGTATTCCATGAAAGCTGCTCTCAACCTGGCGTTGGAAGGAACCTACTACCCTACCTCTCTTTTACTTCATTGCATATGAGAATTAGGGTTTTGTTGTTGTTGTAGCATCCCATCGCATAAGTTGGAAGAACCTGGCCAATGGCTTTGACGTAGATGGCCCGTCCACCGTATGAAATCAGATTTTGGACAGTTTTACTTTTAAATAATAACAAATGATATCTCAGAAAAGTAGAGAAGGTTTTGGACACATAAATGAAAAGAAAATATAATTTGAACATGAAATTTTCAATTAATCTTTTTTTCAAATCTTTGTAAATACTGATGCCACGCCAAAAGAGACAATTGGCTTCATCTATAGTGAAGGCCCACCTTTGAGCAATTATTACTGCTGAAGGGACTACATTTTGAGAATAATAAGAATTTTTCTTTTTAATCATCTAAAGCAGTTGGGGAAAACCTGCCTTTGTTTATGTATTTGGTAAACCGAACTTGAGTCAATCTCTATCCCATGTTATGACACCGCACGGGGACAACCGGGAAGGAACTGATAAAAGGCAGTGGAGGTTTGGAAAATATTAGGGTTAACTACTTGATTGATTACATATATTTATATTTTTGTTTATTTTTTCGATTTTAAAAAACATAATATATGATCACTTTTATTTTTATTTAATTAAAATAAAGTTACTTTCACTTTTATTTAATAAAGATGTAATCACTACGGATTAACTATAATTAATAATTAACAACTTAGGTGATGTGATATTTTGATATAATCACATTTGATCTAAGTTATTTACATATTTTCTTAATTTAGTCATACTCTTAATAAATTAAATCATCCAATCGAACGATTCCACATGTGACTGGTGTCACATGTAATGCCACATGTCACCATTCAATTGGAAGATTTAGGTTTATTATAATTTAATATATTTTTTAATAAGATTTATTTAATAAGTTAATATAAAATATATTTTTAAGTTAATATATATAAATATTATGAATTTAAGTTAAATATTTATACATCAATATACAAAATACATACATCATTTTATCTATTTTAGATCACGCGTGGATCTTCACTCAATGATTGGGTACATGATCAGAGGATTAAATTTATTTTTATTTATTAAAAATATGATTAAATTGAGAGAATATATAAATAACAAAGATCAAATGTGTGATTATATCAAAATATTTAACGACAATCAACTCGTAGTGACCACATCTTAATTAAATAAAAACAAAAGTGACCATATATTATATTTGAAAAAGTGAACAAAATATGAATACAAGTGATTAATTGTGTAGTTAACCCAAAAAATATCAAGGCTACAAAGGATCGTCTCCAATCATAGAATTCCTAGGAATGTATATTACCATATCTTCTGGGACTGTGGATTCAAGCAAGATTTCGATGCAGTATGGAGAAACCGCATACAACTTCAACTATTGGCAAGAGCCACCCAAAGGGCTGGTCAACCAACTCAAGGGCAAGTCACTTGAAACAGTTTTTTTTTCTAGACTATTAGAATGGCTTTCAATTACATCATTTGGTAGGAAAGAAACAAAAAGGCTCATAGTCTCCCCACTAGAAAGGGGCAGTTCTTAGCAGACTCATCACTGATATAAGTTGACACACAAATTTCAGGAAATGTAAATAGGCAGTGTACAGACCATCTACATTCTCTTATTGGTTTGATAGCTACATATCAGTTCAGTTTTCTTTCAAAGCACACTTAACTTACTTGGATAAATGAAATTCTTTACCTATCCAACAAAGGAACACCAAAAAGTAGGGGGAAAAACCATAACCGGGGGGGGGATTCATTGCAACATACTTTTGAACCACACTAACAAACTTCTTCAGTGAATTATTGTGTTTACCTCGTGTAATCATCCTGCTTTCGAATCAGGTTTCGTGCTACTTTTGGTCTCTGATTTTGCATCCCCTCTCGTTTGAGTAACTTGGGTGCTTCTTGCCTCACCTGAACAACATCCACCACCATCATGGTGATGGTGGTGGTGGTGGTGGTGGTGACCATGTTGATGACTCGGCTTTGCCTTGAATTGCTTCCGCATGTCATATGCATCCTCCCCATCAGCATAGTATTTGGCCTCAATATCATGAATCTTATATCCCAAAGTCTGGGTATACAGATTAAACGCTGCCCTGTTACTCTTCCTCACATGTAAAGACACATACTCTGCTCCAAAAGCCTGCATCTCTTTGTATATTAGGAATAACAACAGGGACTAAAACGGGAAATTGTAAATAAACCCCTTTAAAAATCATAAAATTATTAAGTTAATACATGGTAAAATTGCATCCTCCCCACTCAATCGACTAGGAAAAGTCGAATTTTTCAACTGGATTTAGTGTAAGAAACTCTATTCGCAATTGCATAAACTCCACTCGACTCATAAATAGTTGACTCATATATATTTCAAATTCAAGTTAAGTTATAAAATAGAACTCTAATAAGTCAAAATTTTTAATTACTAGTGAATTGATTTTCAAGATTAAGTATCTTAACTCAGTATAATATGAAAGAAATATATTTGTATATTGTATACCACTATAGAAAGTTGTTTAAATTAGAATTATATAATATCATAACAATATAAATATTTATAATTAAATTTAAACATAAACTAAAACTACTCGAATTGACTCAAAATTTTATAAATTCAACTCAAAAAATTTCAAACAAAGTTTGAATTATAAAATATAATTCTAGACTCAAATATTTTAACAAAAATTGACTCGAATCCATCAAATGCTCAACCATACCTCCCATACTAAATCATAAAATATCAGCCTTCGCCCCTGAATGACAATGTAAACGTCTTCTGATCAATGGTCCCGAGAAAAAATATTTCTTTTCATCACAATAGTAAACCCTATCTAATTTACGGGTGATATTTATTAAACGATGAAAGGAAAGAGATAAGGGAAAGACCTGTTCCATAGCGGCTTGGGCGGCGCTCATGAGCTTAGTTGCGAGGCCGAGCTTGCGGTGGGTGCGGAGGACGGCGAGGGAGGTGATGTGGCCGTGGCACTCGTTGCTTTCTTCATCCATCTTGGCGAGAACGTAGCCGACGATGCGTCCGTTGTAGTCTTCGGCGACGTAAAGGAGCTGAGGCCAGGAGAGGATGTGGTACAAATAGTATTTCATCTGGTAATTCTCGGGAAGGCAAAGCAGGTTGCAAGCTTGCATCGCCAAAAGGTCATCCATGGTTGCCTTGCGTATGCAAACCATTGTTGCTTCTTTCCGCTGGATTTTTTATCTTCTTGCCCGATGGAATTATTTGGGACCTAGGGTTTTCGAGTTAGTTCCTGCTTGGAATTGGATGGCATTGCTTAACCAGCTTTAATTCATCGTTTAGGGTTTTGGGCTTGGATTTTTCAAGTCATATATAGCCCGACTTTATGGTAAAATTAACCCAATAGACTAGACGGGTAAAAAAATTAACATATTAGATTATTTCTAAAATCAATTTAGGATCTACTATATTTGTTATAATAATTTATAATTCATCGAACTGATGAGTTTAAATAAAAAATTATTTTGATAAACTCATCGTATAGATGTGACGAATTTCTCTAATATTTATCGTAGATCCCAAATAATTTTAAAGATGAGTTGCATTAATATTTTCACCCCGACTAGCTTATTGTACCAATTTTTCCCCGATTCTATGTTCCAAGCTTAGCCCAATCAATTTTATATTTTTTTAATCCTTCACTTGATTTGACTTGTGTGTAGAGAAACTTCTCCATAGTTTTTAAGGTTAAAAGGTGGGCAAATAGGTATTTCAGTTCAGGTTATTTTGGTTTAGGTTATTTTGGTGTATACTTAATTCAGGTCAGTCTTGAATTGGGTTGGATCATTTCGAGTTTCGGTTTTATTCAAGTTTATAGCAAGTAAGATCAATACAAGTATCAGGTCGGGTCAATATCGAATCAGTTGATTTTAGGTCGGATCAAATCGGATCGGTTGATTTTTGGGTCGGATCAATTAATATTCGATCATTTATTTTTGGTTCGGGTCAACATTAGATCTTCAGATCAATTCAAGTTAAGTTGGATATAAGTCAAATCAAGTATATATGAAATTATTGATATTGTTTTGTAAAAAAACGTGTCCATTTTTTTTACAAAATCTTATCATTTGTGTTCAATTTCATTCAAATTCAATTATTCTTTACGGATTATAATTTAATTCAAACTCAAACTATAAGATATGTTAGAGTTTTTGATTTTTTATTGACCAAAACTAAAAAGTTTATGGTACAATCTATTTGATTAAAAAATTAATTATCAATTTTATTATCAATTAAAATTTTAAATTAAATACTTAACATTTAATTATAAATATAATATTTTTATTAAACTTAAAAGTAATAATATACTATTTATGTTTGAGTAAATATTATTCTAAATATATTTATAAATGATATTATATTATTATATCATCGATAATATTTTAAGTTTAAATAATAAAAGAATAATATCTTTATATTATAAAAATAAGTTATTTGTGTAGTATAAAACAAATTATTTTTATATTAAATTTAAATAATTGTATTTTTTTCATATACAAAAAATGAAATTTCTTGTAGTGAGTTTTGAAAAGTTATTTTAGTAGTTCCAAAGTAAAATATAATAATCCATTTCAACCATCATTTAACCTATTTTTTTTTCAAACATATAATAGTTTAACTTGCCTAATGATTTTATTAACAAGAGATGTGATCAATATATACAAATAATTTAGGATAAAATTGAAATATGCAAATAGTTTGGGGACCAGTTTAGGATGAAGATCATAACTTGAGGATGAAAATAAAATGTTTAAAAGTTTGAGGACTAATTTAGAATAATAGTCATATTTTAAGGATGAAATTGAAATGTTTAAAAGTATAGGGACTAATTTGAAATGAAGGTGATAAATTGGGGTTATATGATGCAATTAACTCATTAGTGATTCATAATTTGATTTAAATATATTGAAAACCAATCTAATAAGTTATTTTAGTATTTTTATACATTTTAACTCAATTATCTAGTTAAAATCATATCAATGTTCGGTTCAAATCGGATTTAGATAAATTAAATTCAAGTTATTTTCGGCTCAGGTTATTTTCGGTTCAAATTGATTCTAATTCGGATTATTATGGACTAATTGAAAAAATATAGATAAAGAGGTATTATAACAATTATCCATGTATACATAAAAGTTAATTATATTATTACTTGGGTCGGGGCAAATCAAATGTTTTTCACTCTAAACTTGACTTTGATTCGACATAATCTTATCCTTCAAAAAATATCCAGCATGACTCGACTTGAACCCAATATTTTTCCTAAAAAAACGATCTTATAAGAATAGGTTGAGTTAAAACTCGTCAAAATCAAAAAGAGTGTTTATTTCTCAGTTTTAATCGAATTAACCAACTAAACCCAATTAGTTTGGTTAAAACAGTTGATCGCTAAATTAATTCAGTTTGGGAAACGGTTAATTTTTTTAATATTTGGTTAATAGTTAATTCAGCTTGAATCGAATAATTAACCAAAAAGTATTAAATATTAAATATATATTAAATACACATTTTAAGCTCAAAATCATTAAAAATTAATCTTCAATCATTTTAACCACACTAAACTCACTAAATTATCACGTCTTAATTAAGATTTAATTCAAATAAAAATACCACTAATAAAGTCAAATTAAACTATATATATAATTCAGTTAATTCGATCATTGACTGAATTAACTAAATTTTGTCTGGTTCGCTTAGTATTTTCAAAAACAAGTATAGTTCAATTAACGATAAAAAATTAATTAATTTAGTTAATGAGAATTTGATTTGATCGGTAAGTAAATTAATTGTTTACACACCCATAAATTCAGATCAAATAAGCATAACTAATTTTGTCCTCGAAACAAAATCCAAACTAACTCGACTCTAAACTAAATTAAGACTCTTTTAATTAGTAAGCATCGAAAAATCTCTCAAAATAACTCCCATGAGTTGGCTTGGTGTGAACCTCGGCACCTATAAACTGCCTCTTCTTTCTCTTATACTTTTTCTTAAAATTTAATTTTGTGCACGTGCTTATTTCATTTATGTATGGTATAATTATTAATATTTATATTTGATTATCATATATCTTAAAATAAGATATATGTTTATTTATATTTTATTTTTCATTAATAAATAAAATTTTAATTGTTTATAAATGTATTCATGTATCTTTTATAAATATATTTATTTAATATTCATTATTAAATTCATTTAATCAAAAAACATAAAAAAAATTTAAAATTCGTAACAAACACAAACTATACAAAATGAACTTAAAAAACAAACTAACTAAATATAAATAAAATTAATTTGTTTTAAGTTCATTTTCGGATAAACTACACGGATGGTCACTGATGAATGATGATTGAATAAGTTTTTGTTTTTCCCACTAAACTTTTAAAAGTTACAAATTGGTTACTAATATTATCAATTTGTAACAAAATAGTCACTCGACGTTAAAATTGAGTTGGACTGCTAAACACTTACGTGGACCGTTGACCACCATGTTGGAGTCTCTGTTGACCGACTCTTCAACTAATACAATTTATTGAAAATAACACCCCTTCCTTCTTCCTTTCGCCTGAGAAAGAATCGGTTTGAGAGAAAACTTGGTGAGAAAAAGAGAAAATTGTGAGGGAAAAAAAAAACCTAGGGTATGAGTGAATAAGAGAAAAGAAAATCAAGGATTACTTGGAATATTAGCTCGAGTAATAGACATTTGATATGTTCTTTTACTTTCTTTATAATTCCTTTAAAGTAATAAAGGCTAATGCTTTGTCTCTCATATGTCCTTTGGATCAATTCTGTGTGGATCTTACAGCTCGTGTTAGTGAAGAATTCATTGATCCTATTATTGGCAGGGAGAATGAAGTTCAAATAACCATTCAGATATTTGTCGCAAGAGCAAGAATAATCCTATTCTTCTTGGTGGGAGTGGTGTTGGTAAAACAACCATTGCTGAAGGACTTGCAATCAAGATTGCTCAGGCAGAAATCTCGACATTTTTGTTGGCCTGTCTCTTCACCGGTCTTGATGTTCTAGATAGTATAATTAGTTTCGTTTTATTCCATCTGTATGCTAGTGGTCATACTTCTCGTAATGTTGTATCTCAAATAATAATGATTTTTTGGCTTTTTTTTATGCAGAATAAAAGAATAATGTCCTTGGACATGGACTGTTGATGTCTGGTGCAAAGGAGAGAGGAGAACTAGAGGTATGTGTTACTGCTTTACTAAACGAGACAATAAAACCAGGTACCTGCTATGCTGAATTGCTTTTTGGGACTGAAGTGTGAATTTTGCTATTGCTCATACTTTATGTACTCGTTCGGCAGGTGATGTCATTCTTTTTATCGATGAGATCCATACGCTTGTTGGATCAAAGTACAGTTGGCCGAGGAAATAAGGGTTTGACCTTAATATTTCCAATCTTTTAAAGTCTGCAATTGGGAGGGGTGAATTACATGTAAACATTTCTCAGGGTCATTTATGCAGAAAATCTGAAATGCCAAATTTTTTTACATGTTGTTTATCGTAATCTCTTGAAGATGACAGTTTGGGTAATAAAATCAAGGATTTAGTTTGAACGAAAACATTCCAACCAATTTATTTGATATTATTTTGAACCCTAAATTTCTTCCTTCTTCCATTCGTTCGAGAAAGAATCAGTTTGAGAGAAAACTTAGTGAGAAAAAGAAATATATTAGAAAAAGGGAGAAAACCAATGATCTTAGTGATTAAGAGAGAAAAAAAATGATGAATACTTGATTTAAGAGAAGGTTTATCGGAAGAAAAGGAGAAAATCTAGGGTCCAGCGTGTGGTTAATGGTCCATGTAAGTGTTTAACGATCCAACTCAGCTTTTCGTCACTGAGGCTACAGGGTGTTAATGTTGAGTGACCATTTTGTTACAAATCGATAACGTTAGTGACTAATTTGTAACTTTTGAAAGTTTAATGAGGAAAACAAAAACTAACTCAAACATTAGTGACCATTCATATAGTTTACCTTATTATTTAGGGTAAATTACACGTTTAGTACATTAACTAATATTTTTGTTCCATTTTGGTATCCAAACTTTATTTTGTTTTAAACCATGCCTAACGTTTAATTTAGATTTCATTTTGGTGCCCCGTCGTTACAAACTTAACGGTGATGTTGATGTGTTATCGTAAGGTAATGTCGCGTCATTGGTGAAAAAATA